ATGAATGGAACTGGAGCACAGAGATTCCCTTTGGTGTGGATGTATGTGTGAGTGCTTGCATGTGTGTGTGTGTGTTTGTGTGTGTGTGTGTGTGTGTGTGAAGACTTAATCCTTGACTTAACCAAAATGACTCACCAGACTAATGACCACTCTCTTGCTCCCTGGGTTTTCTCAAAGTGAAGAAGTGACTGAACTGCAGACTAGAAAAGCACAATCACAACCACAGATATTGTAAATACATTTTCCCCCTCTGTGTGTGTGTGTGTGTGTTTGTGTTTGTGTGTGGTGTTTGAGGGGACAGGCAGTGTAATTGCATTGCAGTGAGTCACAGAGGGAGACACAGAAAGAAGTAATTGTTGGGCTTTGTCATATAGACACAGAGAGAAAAGAGGTGGGAGGAGGAGAAAGCTGGGTGGAGAAAAAGCGAGAGAAAAACAGAAATAGAGAAATGAGGCATAAAGAAAGGGTCCCAAGATGTACTATCCCTAGATTTTTAAGGACATGAAAACATAATCTCTGTGTCCGTTCATATAGAAAATCTGTCATTTCCTACTCGACATCAATCAGTCTTCTGTAACCCTGGTGGGGTGTTTCTTTAACTCCCCATTGGGCCGGTCCATTTGTTCAGTTGTCCACCAGTTATGATATCTTATGATTCACCAAATGCACCTTATTTCTATAGTAATTTTAAAAATGTCATCTTTGTACCCTACATATGAAGCTTCTGCCAGCAGCTTGTTTGCTGAGCTTAGCGTTACATTTGGAAATGGGCAAACCAGAGGTAACAAAAGCTGCCTACCAGCACTTAAAGCTCTTAAAATCTCATTTGTTTAATTCGTAGAAGATCCACAGTATAAAAAGGACACTAATCCCTAGTAAAACGTTGTGGTTTTGCTAGCTATACTTTTTCTTGGCACAGTACAGTTCTGAATCTTTAGTGGTGCACTGGCAACATTTCGTCATATCAAAATCTAGTGTCACACAAACCTTGTGGTAAATAAGTAAATCAAACTTTTTTTTTTCTCAACTTAGTACAGCTTAGTGATAAGGCCAGATAACTACTTGCAATGTAGACAATGAAGATGTTTTTATGTATCATTTGTAACTAGTATTGAGTGACTGCTTTTCAGCTTAAACTGGACATATAATATTTCAGTAGCACTTGCCAGGTTCTTTACATAAACAAAGAGTCCAAAGCAGACATTACTGTGTCTGCTGAGCCAATCATATGACCTCATCTTTTCTCTAGATTCATGCACAGACACACACCCACAAACACACAGTCACAATTGATCACAGGCAACACACACAGACTGATCAGCAGTGAAACACCTGGATGCGAGTCCATAGGTATGACACACACCTACACACATGCACACACACGAACAAACACACACATATACACTTATTCACAGACTGTTGTGCTACCTTAAACTACTGCTGCTGAGGTCAGATGTGGGTATAATGCCACAGTGTGTGTCTGCCTGTGTGTCAATGTGTGTGTACTTCTGTGTGATTAGTCACCATAGCAGGGACTCTCTTGTAACAAAGGTTCATTGAAGAATAGTCCCAATGCTGACTTGGTCTCTTAGTCTGCTAAAATGCTTTAGATGTTACTAAACTATTTTAATATAAATGTCAGCATTGTCAAAAACAGCAACCTCAAAACGCTGGTGTTTTTTTCCCTTTGTGCTTGAAGCCAACCTTATCATTTATGCGTCTAATACATTCTTAACTTTACTTGGTACATTTGGTTCATTTCTTTCGTCTTTTGCAGAGGCGGTTTTGTTTACTTTTCCGCTTTTGCCATGCCTGTTTGCTTTTAACTAACTAAATGAAATAGGAGCTGTTTTTTTATTGATGTTCAGGCATAGTGAAATATCACATTAAACCTGGCAGACCCATTGGCAAACACATTTAAGGAAAACGCATTTGACAGCAGCAGCGTTGCTCTTTGACTATTTTACACTTTATCACTAGAGGGCGATGTTAACACACCAGCTCATCAAGCAGGGATAAAGGCCTGAGCTTAGATCCACCTTCTAAATGAGAGTCAATATACTAGGGGTGTGTCTGAGTATGTGTTTGACATCTTGGCCTACTAATCCAGTGGCCCATTAATCTGCTTTACTCCTGGGCAACTCTCATCCCGTCGGTCTGCCTGTTTGTTGCTTGTATGAGAGAGAGATAAAGAGAGGGAGAGAGAGATGTTTTCTGTCATGGCTCATTCATAATCAATAATGTGACATACTTACTGAATATAAAATCAACAATCAGTGACAGCCAAGTGATTTTATGGCAGTTTGAGCACATTTTGTGGTCCATATCTGCAGGCGCTGACAGTGGAAAACTGCCATCGGGAAGTTCCAGCAACAACAGATTTCTGCCTGTGGGCCAAGGATGTTCGTGCTCTCAAATGCTGACTCCTTCTGTGTCTTATGAGTCTTTCTGTAATTCTACATAAAACTTTTAATGTCAGAGGACACCTGTCATTACCATAGCATTTTAATAAGTGTTTATTTTTCCTGTGTGTTAACAAGGAACAGAAGGACCAGAAAGATTGCACACGCACATTAAAAATGCTGCACTGGTTAGAGTTTATAGGTTTACAAATCACTAAATGCTCTTGCTTCTAACTCCATGTCTGACATCGTTTTAAGAAAGGAACCCAATAGATCCCTCCAGTACTGTAGTTGTCTCTCAGGTGTTCTTAGGGTCTGGTCTAAGACCCACGACGAGGCCTCTTTTTGCCACCGTGGCCCCAACCTTTTGAAAGGCCTGAAGGGAGTTGATAAATGGTGGACTCCACAAAGAGTGCCTAGCTGCCTGCACCCCATGAAGACATGATTCGATTCATTTTCATTAGGAATTCATAAAAACATTTAAATTAATAATTGATATATTATCGGTGGCTAATATTAATGTTCTGGGGCCTCATTTATAAAGCCTTGCGTAGGATTTACGTGGGAAGGTTGCTTACGTAGGACAAAGCAAATAAATACGCACAGACATTTTCCGATTTATAAAACACTGCGTACCCTTTATAAATCAGAATCAACTCGAAATGCGGCGCAGCTTTTTTGCGGGCTTGACCTAACGCCCATATTTGCCTATAAATAATCAAAGAAACGCCCTGTATTAATATTCATTTTCACTGACTGCATGAAGAAGATCGCAGGAAATTACGACAGAACAGCTAAAAAAGAAATGTCACACCGTGTCAGATTTTGGTTCCTTTGGGGAGGTCGAGATAAATCACATTGTTTGGTGGATGCAGTTTGACCCAGAGTAGCAGCATGAAGGTCGGATCGTCACCAAAATAAATAAATAAGTGGTCCGAAAAAAGTGAATGACAAAATACACATAACCTTCCTCAGGCAGTGTGTCAGTGTGTTTGTGTCAAATGTGGTGTGTAATATCAGCTGCCAAATCTACCAAATATATGGTGTTCTTAGTTTCCCTACCTCCTGTGTTTTATGAGCGACTTATCAAGTCTTGGCAAACGGCATAAAACACGATTAAACATGATAGTATATAAAACCATGCTCGTATCTATACAACCTATAGAAGTGCAAAACGGCCTCAGTTTAGACGTAATTCTGCCCTTCTGCATACCGCATCATTTATGAGAATACATGTCATAACATTAAGACAACATATTCGAGGTGGTTTTCAATAACATATTTTTGTGTGCACTGAGGAGTCTCAAACAGGCGTTTGTTTAATCATTTTAAGATTGGCTTTAATCAATTTTTGTGAATTAATTCTTCACATATGATAGGCTACATGAGAGGTAACATTATATTTATTGTATTATTTTTACATATTTCTCTCCATTCTTCCTTCTGCCAACGGTGTCGCAGTTTCTCGTCTCTCCCGTTTTTGTGCGTACCGCGTACGGATGGGTCAGAGTTTGCGTGGAGGACCGCACATTTTCCCGTCAAGTTTGTTTTTTATAAATCGCAAACATTGCTTAGAAACTGGCGTACGCCATCTTTTGAGCGTACGCACCGTTTATAAATGAGGCCCCTGATCATTTCACTTGCTACTGCAATCATTATCAGCCCTGATAATTAGAGGGAAATTATAGATTTTTTTAAATAAACATATATATTTTTGTAATTGTAAAAACTACAGCCAAAATGATTGTTTATGAATCTATCCATGTGGACAAAACATCATATTCCTAACACTTTATTACTATCTTTTGTTAATCATCATGTATTCTCAATTAGTTTTAAATCAGTTGTCATGGTTCAAGCCTTTAGGGTCAGTCAATTCTGTCCCAAAATATTAGTGTAGGGTGGGTTTACTATGCCCTCTACCCCTGTGTCTGATTTGATTTCAGTGTAATTGGATTAAATGTGCACCCCTCACCAAACAAAGTCAGTGGAACAATTGTCTGTTATTCCCCGTGTTTTTGTTCTGAAGATTGATGATTTCTTTGGAAAACGTTGGGTTGAGAATATTGCATTATGACTAATTGAGTAGCTCCTCGGTGCATTTGTGTCAGAGGGGCAGAATAGCCAAAGGCAACACAGCTCACACTCTTCTTCCTCTCTCTCTATTATGTCATTCTCAGCTCTTGTCTTTTTCCATTCAATTATTTCCTCCTCACTTTCTCTTCTTTTCTTCCCCATATTCTTCAGTTGTCTCTTTCCCTTCGTGTTTCTCACTTATTTTCATAAAGTTGCATCATTTCTTTTCTCTTGTCTTTCCCTCCTCTTTTGCATTGCCTGTACATCTGGCTCCCTCTCTCCCCCTCCACCCCTCTCCTGGGACACAAAGACACCCCCCCCCCCCTCTTTCCTCCTTTTCTGTCTTTCGTATCCCTCCCCCTTTCACAGTCATAGGCTGCCTACCACCCCTCGCTCTTTCCCTCCTTCCCTCCCCTCCTCTACTCCCACTCGTGCTGTTGTGTATCCGAGTGTCAGTGGAGTAGTAGTAGTAGTAGAGGGAGGAGGAGGAGGAGGAGGCAGGGTTGTAAGCTTAAGCCGACATTAGCCATCATTAGTGAGTTAGCTAGCTAGCACATCTCAAATTCAGCCCAAAGACCACAGAAGCCCCGGATTTTGGCTTTTCTAATTTAGCTGCCTCTCAGGGGGGGGATTACTCTCTTCTTCTCTTCTCTTCTGGACTTAAAATGGAAGGACTATACTATGGTAAGATTTGAAACATACAGTATAAAGTAGTGTATGTTCACTTTGTTAGTTTTTATGAATGGTAGGATCTTAAGTCTAAACATATTATTAAAAGTTTGTTGGTATGGCAAAATACATTTGTATATCAGATTATACTGTATGTATAAGGCGTTGGTTCGGGTTGAATTGTTTGTTTGTTTTTTCTTACTGTCATTACTGAGTAGTACTGTTGTAAGTATTGATGATATCGGCAGTTTTCTAGTAATCAGCTTTGGATAACTGTTAGTAAAACAAAACACAATATTTAAAGTTGTTTAGTTGGTCTCTTAGTTGTTATGACATGGATTTCCTATTATTCCTTTCTGACATTTAATATACCAGATTAATCAATAATGAAACTGAATAATTGTGTGTGTATGGCAATGCGAGATGCTTGTGTTTGGTAACTGTAGGAGGCTTTACCTTGACGTGTGCATGTGCAGAACAGGAGTTTATCACTGTGTGTGTGTGTGTGTGTGTGTGTAGTAAATGTGTGTGTGGGAGGAAAGCAGTTTGTGTGAGATGACATGTGTGTCAAATTAGCAGGTTGTGTTTGAATACAAGTATGTGTGCCCTTATGTAGAGTGTTTCCCACATGACTGTGTGTGTAGGTGTTGATGTCTATTTCAGTATGTTCTGTTTACACATGTGTGTATGTTGTAAAGGCTGGCACGTTACAATCCCCCGCCGGCTTTTTGTTTCTAGGTTGAGTCATCTATATTTGAGTATGTTTTAATATTTCGATCTTGGTTTATAATTGATGTAAATTTGATAAATAAGAAGCACACGCTCAAACACACACACACTTCACTCATACCTGCTGTTCCACTCAAGCATTTAATCCCAACGTTCTTAAGATGTGATGATTGATCTTGGATTTGCCAGGGGGAAGCATTGAAAAGGTACAATTGATGAAAGTTATATAAATCACAAACATGTCTCAGGAGAATGAATAATCTTTATACAACACCCTTTATCCTAAGACCCTTGATTCGAATACGGGAACACTCCACAAAAATATATTTTAAAAGAAGGACTTGAACTTGACCAGAGGAAGAATTAGCATAGTTTGTTTGACATACATTAGAATGGTCCTACTGAGCATAGAGTCAAGCCAGTAAGGCCAGGCTTTCATTGGCCAATCAGAATTGAGTATTCATTTTGTAGCCTTATGAACTAGCTCCCTAGTGTTTGCTCTCATACAAAATGAAAGACAAATATCTATATTTAATGTTGTGTTTGATTTTCTTCTTCTAGAAAAACATGTTTTAAATGTACATACATATGCTGTTCAACACCAGGGAACAAAATGTAATTGGTCATAAGTGTCAGATATGTTTTGATTTATTGAACTGACTGGTGTAGTTGGCAAACAAAAATATTTAGAGCCCACACTATCTCACTGGTTCATTCATCCTTAATATGTCAGATAAATTATACGCTGTGTATCTGGTCTGAGTGTGATACAGTACCATGCATGCCGCTCCAGTAATCCAGTTAGCTTTATCACTGCACCTGAACTCTACACACTTGAGTGAATGTGTGTGTCAGTGTGTGCGCTTTGAAGATAAATGTGTATGAGCAGTCATGCGTTCACGTGACCTTATTATGTTGCTTGCATGTAGGATTATCTGGAGTATGCATCATCTGTGTGTTGGTGTGTGTGTGTCTGTGTGTGCAACATATTTTATTTTTCTTGTAACAAGTTTTAATAATTGCTTGACGTTTGTCTGAATGTGAATAATGAGAACATTTGCTTCTATTAGGACTTACAAACAGATCACAATGGCATTATTTTATTACGTTATTCACTCAATATTAATCCATGAATAATACAGACTTGTTGTTTATGTTATACAATTATTAAGCACATTTTGTTTCCCTTTCAAACTCAAAACTGTGCTCAAAACATCCCGTGTGGTTGTGTGTGTCTCTGTGTGCAGGGTGTGTAGTGTGTGTGTCTGCTTCTTTGCATTTGTATGTTGGTGTGACTGGCAGGTGTGATTGGTGCCCGAGGGGTGATGTTGTTGCATCGTAAGACTGCACGCTCCAGTAACACCCCATTGTCCAGACACACACACACACGTACACACACACACACGTACACACACACACGTACACATACATGTGTGCCAGCTCAGCTTTATCCATTAAACACAGAGCAACCAGGCAGCTGACCGCTCTCATCAGGTTAATTCAGTTGATTATTGCAGGGGTAGTGTTTCATTACTTTGTGTGAAACAGAACATCTGGCTCAATTCCTCAGCCAGTCTGATCTTAGACTGTTGAGCTGCACACTGTTTTGTTACATATCTCCAATCATTACTTCCATTTACCAAACAGGACTGCTTTGTCAGCTGCTTCGGCCTTTTTAATTTACAAATACATGTAAGTCCATAGCAACACAAACACAATTGGGAAAATGTCAAGGATATCTTGACACAAATACATAAACGCAAGCTCTCACTAAAAACGCATGAAAAACATTGTAATGTTAAAACACAGTACTTTGTTCTGCACACTCATGCATTTTTTATTATGTTAATGTCTTTTTCAACTGAGCACACCTTTTTCTTTTCTTGTAGTTTTTCCAATTAATGCAAAAACAACCACTTTGCCTTTTTAATTTCTCCTTTTAGATGGTTTCCATCTGCAGCATAATAATTGTCTTGACTCTCTGACCTCCTTCAAACTGTATTTTATTTAATTACTGATGTGAGACCAGTTGTTAAGATATCATTGCATAGCAGACTCTCTTTTGATTGTTCTGTCTAATTACCGTTGCCAAAGACCTGTGAAGAATGTGCAATTATACGCAGCATGCCGACATGGTGACTTTCAGCAGTGAGTTAGCATATTGCTTATACTTATGTTAAGGTGTGTGAGTAGGCAGCTGACAGTTTGTTCTCCCTTTGTGTTTTTTTATCTTTAGTGTAAACAGCTTAGTATAAGTATGCACATAATTACCTCCATTTAATGGCTAACCAGTATTAAACAATCTAATTATTAAATTCAATTTGACTAACCAATTATTTTCTCTCTTTTTTTTTCATCTAACAGAGCTATAATTCTGTGGGCAACTGTTTGTGTTTTGGCGTAGGTCTGACTATTGTTGTGCAGCGAGACCTCTTCTATATCTTTTTATTTTACTCCTCCACAATAGTATAGGTCACCAACCCACGTTAGGAAAACAGAAAGTTGGAGAAGGCATTCTTCACGGATATATACCTTCAACAAAAACAAATGTGGACTTTCATTGTGTCAACGTGTGCTAAATAATTGATGGGAGCAGCATATCTGCATAGATCTGAAAAATGAATCTTTACTCCTCTCCTCTCCTGTGTGACTGCTTATAGAGGACAGCTTGAGGAGCAGGTGTTTTGGGCTGCCTGCCAGTCTACCGGCCAAGTGTGTGTGTCTGTGTGAGTGTGTGTGCTTGTGTTTGCGTGCCCTCTTTGATATATTTGCATGTGGAGGCTGTTCACACAGACTGATATGTAATTAGCACCATGCTAGCACTCCTATGGGAGAGATGGATAGAAAAATTACATGGCAACTAAAGTAAGCACGTTTCAGCGTTAATCACAACATAACCACTTATTAAAAACCCCTGGGCTGATATTCCACGTGTTTAAGAGGTGTTTAAACTAATTATTTGTATAAAGACGGCAATATTTTATCCCAGCTCTTCAGGTGCAGTTTGATCTCGTTTCACAGACAGGAAAAGGCCACAGTCTCCTCTGGTTTTTAGTCTAGACTGTAGCAACGCCACTTTGGCTGCAGATGTCAGGCTACATAGCACTTAACTTGCATCGAACGCTTACAAGAGAGACGGTTAGATAAATATTCAGCCTGAGCATCCCATATGACAGATGGTGTGTGTGCAGGGTTCGCATCTATCCACTGCAGATGTCATTATCTCTGAGACTTAAGCATCTCCAGATCTGTTAATCCTGCTCCATTTGATCCATTTAGGATATGGTTAAGTCACTTGTTATAATGGTTGTCTTGGGATTAATCTAACAACATCCCAACATGTTGCCATGTTGTTGAGATTGACAGGAAATGATTAAACCCTTAATGTTCTGTGGGGCTGGTTTCTGCCTTCTGATTGCACTTTACATCAGGTAAAAACACACACACACTCACACACACACACACACACACTAACTGTAGGGTCATGGTTTCATGTTACAAAGAGTCGTGGCGAAAATACAATGAGTCACCTCACTGGTATTTCCTTTTGATGTGTGGGTTTTACCATTACATCATTTTTGTTGACAACCCCTGCAATCGTGTGTGTGTGTGGTGTGTGTGGTACGTGTGTGTGTGTGTGGTACGTGTGTGTGTGTGTGGTACGTGCGTGTGTGTGTGTGTGTGTGTGTGTGCATGTGTGTGTCCAGTACGTGCGTGTGTGTGTGTCCAGTACTTGTGTGCCCATCAGTGTGTTCAAAGCTCTTAGGCACTTATCCTGCTGACCTCTTCCTGCACACAGGCCCTATCACTGCTCTAACTCGGTGTGATAGGTTCGGGTGTCAAGTTTTCAAAAGGCTCTTCGCTTCCTGTGGGAGTTTGGGAGTTGTAGTATATCAATGTAGTGCAGCATACAAAGCCCCTCGATAATTACAGTAGGACTGAGGAGCCTTCTTTGCACAATATGGCGCCTGATATCCAACTTTGTGTTGCTTGTTTTCTCTTCACATGCCCCATGTAGTATGCATAGTAAAGACAACATAAAGGTGACTTTTGGCAAACTTTTACAGTCAAACATAATTCACTTAGTTTAAAGAAAAATGTAAATGCAGCATCACCTGTGTCTGTAGATCTCCAAATTACCACAGACTGAATGTTGCCAGTGCTTTAATTCCTCCTGCAAAATAAAGGTTAAAGTAATAAAGCAGAATGACTTGCCCACTCCCTCTGTGATGGTAAGCTGAAAAATAATAAAGCAATTTTTTAGCCATTAAAAAGCTATGTTAGGGTCAAAGGAACAGGCCCCCCTGGCCCCTCAAACAAAGGTTACATGGTAGACTGATCTGAAACCTTATCACTGTCCATTTCCCAGTTAAGCTAGTTAGCGTAACCAATAAAGCTTTATCGAACCTCCTATGGGTGTATAACATGTTACAATTGGGTATTGATTTTTTTTAATCAATCAATATCCTGCTGAAAAGTCAACAGGACATTGATTAATTTGATTGATGAAGCTATTCAGCAGGCTCTGTTATACCCTAAACAAAGCACATTCAGTAACTGATCTGGGAACACCTGCTGTGGGACTCCATAAACTGCAGCTGGATCTGTTCCCTGATGATGTCTTTATTCAGTGACTGTTCATTAAACATATCAGCTGACTGTTATTTCTGTGCTTGTTTCAGATATTTCCCGGATTGTCTACTACACAGGTGAGTAGCTTTCATACACAGCTGCTGCATCACTAATGATCACTCACTAGTCATATTTGTGGTTGTGTAAGAAGAGAGAAAACAGTGGGGCTATCTACGTGTGTGTGGGTGTTTTGGTTTCGTTAGTGTAGACAGGGATGAGGGAGAGAATGAACATCGCTCTAGTTGGAGTGTGTGACTAATTGTAATCTTCACACTGCAGAAACCACATACAAAATATGCTCTTTGAAGACAGTTGAACTCCAAAATACCTAAGGGTATATATATATTTTTCCTTTGGCCTTACTAAAATTAAATAAGCAGGGAAGCATATGTATGTGTCATGTTATTATGCCCTGAAAGGATGCCTTGCTGGTCCGTTATATCAGATGAATTAAAGGGGACCTATCATGCAAAATGCACTTTTGTACGTCTTTTATACATGAATATGTGTCCCCGGTGTTCCAGGGAACTCACCAAGTGTCAGAAAACACAACCCTCTCTATTTTCTTCCATACCCAAATCTCTAAAAAAGGGGCTGCAACGGATCTGATAAAAACGGATCCAGATTTGAACACTGTCCTGACGTCAGGACGGTGGCGCTACGGCTATTGGGCCAACTCCACCAATCAGGAGGAGACCGCCACGGCCATTGCCGTTTGAAAGAGCTGGAGACGCTGTAGTACATATGCCAGGCCTGTAAGTGGCGCTGTAGTCTGCCACAAAAGCAGCGAAGAAGACTTCCCGCCCATAGTTACCATGGTTACCCTTCTGTTTATTCTCCGCTGTGGCTTTTTTTCTCCCTCCCCGAGGCAAGCGTTTGCTCCCGCTGCAATGCAATCCGTCGAGGCAAGCACTGTAATTCTCTCCGGTTAGTCCACCAGCAGATGACAAACACCCACCTCTCCGCCTCTTCCAAGGAACGAGGGGACCGTGCGGCAGAGTTTCGGTTTCAGTTTGTTTCGCCGGTCAAGATGTCCGTTAAAGTTTAAATCTTCCGGACAAAATTAGAAAAGTGCCGGTCAAAGGTCTTCTTTGTTATTTATTGAGCTTTAAAACAAATGAATAACGACTCTATATAATAAAACACGGAGGACGGAGATCTCTTTTTCTCCCCCTCTTCTGACAGCCCAGCAGCTGATCAGAGCACGTCTCCCCTCTCCTGCAGGGGGGCGTGGTCAGCAGAATCAGACCAGTAGACAGCAAACAGCACATAGAGCGAAATGAGGCATGGCTAAAATGCATGATCTGTTTGGTATTTTGAAAACAGAAACGTATAAATATACCTTATATAGGTATGGCCCTACAATATATCATTTAAATATAGCATGATAGGTCCACTTTAAGTTGCCAGTGTCATGTGAATCACATTAAATGCCAGCTTTGAAGAAGCAAGAGAATAACAATGGAGATGTAAATACAGAAGCAAAGTTGGACAGGATGTTTCAAGGGTAATTCCAGAGTACTGTACCAGTGATTAAAACAGGTTTTATTTCCTTCCGTCTATGTATGTTAATAATTTACCGTTTAACCAATAACCTCTCAAACTGAAATTTAACAGATTAATCCTATCAGTTTAAAATATATATACAAATTAAACATCAAGCTGAGCCTCAAGGAACCGCTTTTGGACTTGATTAGTGAGATGGATTAAAAGCAGGAAGGCACTCAGTCAATTTATTCAATACATTTGTAATTTAAATAGCCTTTGAATTTTAACTTCAAGGCATGGGTGAGAACATACTTATTTATACTGAAATCACACACGCAGACATCAAAGTAGCTATTATACGTCTGAGGTTTAGCAGCATCTTTGAATTTGTATTTGCATTTCAGTAGATGATGCAGGTTGTGTCTCCCTCCTTTGCCTGCAAAAATAATTACGTGTTCATAAACACAGCGAGATAGAGACAGACTTTGGCACAGTCCCAAAAGAGCGCTTCCTATTCATGGCAACATCCGGCCCTCTGACAAAAGGCTTACACACACACACACACACACACACACACACACACCCCCTGCAACCACTCAATTTTCATAACAATGGCCAATGCCTGAGATGTAACATTAAGGAAACACATGCACATTGACACACACGTTCCTGTAAATGCACCAAGGTGAGGTCCAGATCAGGTACTATTAAGATGTCATGTTTTCCTACTTTGCTTTGTGCATTAGTACTTTTCAGTAGCTGGTTGTAGTCCCTTTAGTTCTTCAGTGGATGTGTTCGGCTGTATAAATGTCCATTTGATTTATGGAGGCTGGCATCTGGTCAGCGGCGACGCCCACAGACTGTGATAGGTGCCACTTGCTCGCAGGATATTGAAGGCACGTTGCCTCGGAGATGAGCCTTCAGGGCAGCACCTCGGGCACTCGGAGAGCTCGAGAGTGTGTGACCCCAAAGTACACGCTGAATGACACTGGATGTGCAGTATGAAGTGTGATTGATTGAGACCTTGTGGTGTGGAAGTGAAGTGGTTGGCATGTTGCTAACAGCTGCTAGTTTACATGCTGGGCACAGCCAGGGCAACGGCTGTGTTGGCAGAGATGCTCTTTTCTTCTCTTTCTATTGTCTTAAAAACTTCAGGGATTTGTTTTCTTTTCATTTTTACATATTGTTTCTTTATACACAATATTTCGTTAGGAAGAAAGATGGTTGATCTATATTTGAGTAAGCTGGCCAATTGGGGAAGAAAGAGTAGAATTTATGGGATGTTGTAGTTTGTGTTAAATATGGGGTGGAAATAACCATTAACCCTGAAGTATGATATTATCAGGATACTGAAGTCACAATAAAAAGTAATGACAATAGTAACCATTTGGCAAAGTATTGTAATGTATTAGTTAATTATTTATTAGCAAATTATGCAGATTGTTATCAATAATTGTGATCTAATAAGACAACATATTTTGCATATTCCTGATTTATCCATCGTTGTTTGACTAAAAAAAGAAAAAAAAGCAGTACCTGTGCTGTATCAGTAGCTATGCTGTATCATTGTGTTTTTCCCCGAACCTATTGCTTGTTATATAATTGTGGACAGTTTGGAGATCTCTGTCCTGGAGGAGTGTAAACACAATGGTGGATAATTAAGTTAATAAATTGATGACTGTTTCTGTACTTTTTGGTTTTCTTTTTGCGATTTTGATTAGTTTTTCCTCTTCTCTTCAGTGAATTAAATACTGTATATGTGTCTTGTAATTTCTTAGAAAATGTCAAGTTAATATATATTTCCTCTTCTTTTGTGTTGCATTTCAGATGGTTGCAATATTGGTAGAACATAATGGGCTGTTCTGAGGTCAGCTTTTATTTTCATTGAACACAAGAGATTGGCGAGATTAGCATATTAATAGTTTTTAGCTCCTCCTGCTTTTCCAGCAGCCCTCTCTCTCTCAAGCTCTCTCATTCTCCACTCAACTTTGTTTAGTCGTGCTGCTCTGTCCTCTTTTTCCTCTCTTTATCCTCTAACAATCGCTGCATTTCCCTCTCTCTCTTTTTCACTCTGCGTCTCTTTCCTTTGTTTTTCTGCCTCACTCTTTTTCTCTCACTTTCTTTTTCCGTGAAGAACACTTTCTGTTTTTTCCTCACTAAGTATTTTTCTCTCCCTCTCTGTGACCACTCACTAACTGAATGTCCATTGGATCAACACTTCAAGTTGGATTTGGCTGTCAACTTGTTCTGGACTAGCAGTTTTCTCACCATCACAGGGACTCCACTGAGTGAAATAACCAGAGTCCTCTCCTGAGTGATGATCGCTTGACTCTTTCCTGGCAACTGCGTAACCATGGATTGCCGGCTTGGGCCAGAAATTGGGCAAAAAACAAACAGTGTTGTGTCATCAGAGAGGGGCCGCTCAGGAGTAATTTAGAAGTGGACTGAATAGGAAGAGTTGGGAAGTTTGTGGAAGAAGCTAACTTTACATCGCTCATGCTACTGTGGATAACAGGAATGGATTTAGACGGACGAAGAAATCTATTTTTGTGACACTTTCCCTGTTCGATGTAGCATCTTCACACTGGACAAAGTGCTAACTGAGCAGAAAATCAGCCTGTTTGAGGATTACTGCTCTGGAACTAACTGTTGGCTAACGAGGCTGTTGACAAAAAGTTGAAGACAAAGATTTCTGCCTTGGAGACCGACTGTGTGTCTGTGTGTTTGGGTTATGCGAGCGTGTTCTTGCAGTTGTGTCAGGATCTTGTGTGTGTGTGTTTATTTATGTAGCCCTTCTATACACGAGAAGTTCAGCGTGTGTGTGATGCGTGGCTGTGAGACTGCAAGCTGTCTATCTGTCCTTAGTGCAGACAGAGACAGGGAGGGACAGACATGTGTTTCCATGGCGATGAGTGGCTGTAGCCCCTTCCCCATGTGTTGGGAAAGAGGTATGAATGAAATCTCTTTTTCACACACACAGAAAAACACAAGTAGCATAAAGCCCCTACACAGTGTGACATCTGACTCCATGGGAACTGACTTGGTGTACAGCCAAAGCTACCATGGTTATGCAGAAGTGGCGTGTGTGTGTGTGTGTGTACTAAATTGAGGCAGGCTAATGTGCTTAAAGCCATCAGAAGGATTTGATTTAAAGGCCTTACCATATGAAATTGGGAAAATAACATGTTGGTACGTATTTATCTAACTGTGATATATCCCTCAACAAGTTAACTGTAGGCTTTCCTCTCAGTTATGCGTTTGTGTATGACAGTGAGGAAGTGCTTTCTTTGTCTTTTCCTGCTAGGTGTAATTACCTGCAAGAACATATCAATTTCCTTTAATGGAGGAGAGAGGAGGAGAAGCACAGGACAAAAGAGAAGCAGAAAAAGAGGGAGCATCCTTTTTCTACACAGTGTCATTATAACAACAGCACACATGTTGCACACTCATACAGAGAGGAGGTAGTTCTTGTCGGGCATTCCCAGTTGAAGTTACAATGGAATTCCAGGAAGTGTGTCAATGCCACAACTTCTTATTCAGGAAAAGCGTCAGGCTGAGGTTCTTTGTCTTCTTTGTGTCATAGACCCAGGTGGTGACATTAAGTTTGACCCTGACTGACTACTTCTCTCTCTTTATTTCTCTCTCCGGTATTTCATTGTTCAGTTTATTTTATACCTTTACCGAAGAATGTCTTATCTATGTGAGGCATTTGCTATTCAAGGTGCATTCAAAGTAATCATAGTGCATCAGTCAATTGTATTATTGCATTGTACACACTAAAGCTGAAGCATTTTTTTTTTAAATGCGCTACCTCTTAAGTAAAAAATTCCAACTGAAACCATTTGCTGCTTTTGTATGTCTTCATATGAATTCAATATCTTTAGGTTCATGAACTGTTAGTTGGACCAAACAAGAAATGTAAAGTTGAGCTGAATCAAATGATTATTCGAGTAGCCGATTGACACTCTCCTATTTATTTATTTTGCCAAAATCTCAAAACATTATCTAGTTCCAGCTTTTTTTAATGTTTAAATATTGTCTGCTTCTTGTCATTTATCATAGTACAAGGAAGGTCTCTGGGTTTAGGCCTGCTAGCTGCACAAAACAAGCAATGTGAATATGTCACCTTTAGGTCATTAGGATAAACAGAGTATAACCGAATGATTAATCAAAAAAATGTGTAAAATTTAGTTTTGCCCTAATACAATCGTATGTGTGTGTGTGAGGCAGTAGTCAATGTTTGCTTACAGGCTAAAATATTAAGTTTATATTAACTCTTCTGATTCTACTTTATATTCTTTCTCATTCCCCCAATATCTGATCTTCTCTCTACGCCAGAATATGACAGACACCTAGCAGGAGCGGCAGTGTCAGCAGGGAAAACCATGGCGACGGCCTACCTGGACCCCAACCTGAACCATGCCCTTCTGGGAGGCGCCAAGTCGCGGCTGAGCGGAGGGGTGTCGGACCGAACCATGGCAGGCTCCGTGGAGAGGGTTCTGAAAGTCTTCCATCACTTTGAGACCAACACTGAAAACAGCTGCTGGTCCTCCAATATCCGATATGGAGATGCAACTGATGTCAGGGTAAGGAGAGAGACACGCTTTTATGGAACACTATGAACCAAATGTAGAGATGGTAACACAAAATAGGAGACGCCTTACAATTACATACAATTTAAAACGGCTGAAACTGGATAAGGCTGCTGTTATTTTACATTAGTCCTATTAATCCTCAGAGCATATCCTCAGGGTGTGTGTGAGTGTGTGTTTACTTAGCAGTGTATTTTTAGATCCTCTCCAATGGTGGACTCCCCAACACTGCTCAAACATCAGCAGTCATACAGGATATATCAATCCTCTCCTCTCCATCTTTTCACTTTTTTTCATTCAGAATCTAGGTCAGACCCCCTAGAGTGGCAACACACATGGTTGTGTAAGCATTATCATGCATGTGTGTATGACGTCTGTCAACTTGTTTGGGTGGGAACGTCATGTTAAATCACTTGAAGTAGACCCACACACATGTGCCCTCATTGACCTAATACAAAATGCCAGACTTGCTGTTTTTGTCAAACCGGGAATCTTTGTTTTTATCAGCACTGACAACACTGATAGAATTCTTAAGTCACCATGACTACAGATTAAGGGGTAAATGGTTTGCGGTGTAGCTCAATTTACCCAAATACACCAGTACTACGAGAAATCTCTGCAGAAATGTTCAAAAAATGATGTTTGAATGCCTTTATTTTTGTTACCCTAAACCTAACGTTTTTGGAAATGTGCCATTGAAAAACTGTTTATAAAAATAAATTGTTTACTCTTTATTTTCAGGGAATCATTCAGAAGATTCTGGACATCCACAAAGTGCGCTGGACGTCCTGTTTCGGCCTCCGCCTCAGCAACAGCCAATCCAGGGATCAGGTGCACTGGCTCCACCCTGATATGGGCGTGTCCCACGTCAGGGAAAATTACGAATTACAACAAGCACGACCAAACGAGGAGTGGAGGTGAGAAAAGAAGAGTGTGTCATTGTGCCTCTAGTTTATATCAAACACATTATGCTGAAGCTCGTTCAGGGTTCTGTCTACATGATAACCCTGGATTTTGCTTAATCTTGCTAGATGGTTTGGTGTTGGCATTGACCTAGATTGGTTAAGGTCACAATAGGTTGAGTCTTCTCTGGTAAATCTAGGAATACTATCTAGACACAACACGTCAATGCTTCAGGCTACAAAGGACCCAGAGCTGTTGTTATGCTGGGATTTGATTGAATAGACAGAGCGGTTATAAAGGTTAAAATGTACTGCACTGTGGGAAAAGCAGGTGGAAGATCATGTGGAGCATACATGTTGGGTGTTAGCTGGCTTTTGGGCTAACAACATGTATAAAGCTTCGTACAGCAAAGCAGTGTCCCTAATTTTTTGCTGCTTGTAGTATTTTTTCATGGTGGAAGATTTTGTAGAAATATACTTTTTGTGTAAGAAACTTGAGACTAGGGATGGGTATCGTTAAGGTTTTAACGGTACTACTACTTTTATCGATACCGCTTATCGATCCGGTCCTTTAACGGTACTCTTATCGGTTCTTCAAGTAAATTAATTAAAACAAATTGTAAATAATGTGAACTTATAGAACTGTAAAAAACAAACAAAAAACAAGTATTTACTGCATTAATACATTGGTACAGAGCAACACAGGTGGGGCATACAGGTATGCTGCCAAAGGCCTAACGGGTCTTCTTGAGGTGGATTAAGGTATACATAACATACCTGACGTGGAAACGTTACTCATGGATGGGGCTACAGAGCTACTAGAAAGACAGTCGAAAACGTTGCATTGCTCCGTCTGAATGTGGTGCACTTTTGCTAAATGTTTAGACAAATTGCTCGTGTTACCGCCCTTACATGCTAAACTCTTATTGCACTTTTGGCAACGAGCATTGTCCACATCGAGACGGGTAACATTTAACCACACCCTGGGGCGCTTAGTTCTCTCCGCCATCTCCGCCGTGTGTGTGTGTGTGTGTTGCATGCATGTAGCAGCCGCGTGTGTGTAAACTGCCCCGCCCCCTCACACACAGACAGGGGAGAGAGATCTCGTCTGGATTAGAAAGATCGAATATACATCATAGACGCATTTTGTAGTCTTATTGCATATTAGAAACGAGTTGGCGAAACTAAAACTGCAATATAATGTTTATGTAGCAATAATACATATGACATATATATTTTTTAAATGTCTCCAGTACCGATAAAAAGACCCATAACGTTGGAGCTTAACGGTACCACGGTCTTTTATAATTCAGCCCCGGGGCCCCTTTAATACCGGCGCTCGGTACCCATCCCTACTTGAGACAAAGTTGAACTGCAACTTTAACGTGTGACCAGGAATCTGTTGGTACCCCACCAACAGGCAAAACCAATGAATAACACATTATATTATAACATGATTATCTCACAAAGTTTACATGCCGTTCAGTGGATGAGCTTAATTTATTAATGTATTTGTTTGTGTACATTTAGTTAAACTCATTGTCTTCTCAAACAGTTGGCTTCAGCAGTCCGTCTTATTGTACACCAAAGTAGCAGAAGTGATTTGTGGCAAACAAACAACGTCATAAAAAAAAGTGCAACCCGTCTGTTGTATTTTGATGAGAGGTCTGTGTGGTGCGGCGTGGTGGAGGTGGTCAGGCAGTTTGGATGCTAATGCTCTGGTATATATTGCGCTTATTGTGGCGGTCTGGGTGATGATGCTTTGTGAGGTGGAGACCTTTTGCACTGTGAACATAAAAAGAGAGAGAACCAGATGCCTGCTTTGTCTGACTAGATCAACAACTCTCTCTGTGCCTTTTCTGTCTCTCCTCCACTGATCTTACAATCTGTCCTATATCTTATTTTCATATGTGCATATTATACATTTTTTCATAGCCTTCATCTTCTCTCTTGTCCTCTCTCTTCTCCTTGTCACTATACTGTCTTGAAGATTTCTTCTTTTTTAAATAAATATTTTGTCTTTTGTTGACTCGGCATCCTTCCTCTCCTCTGCTCTTCTTTGCCCTCACTTAAAGTTATTTATTCCGTTTTTTACCTGATATAAGACGGTTTGAAAACATAGAATCAAGTTGTTAAAATAAATACGCTGTAAAATATACATTAATAGATGTGGATGTAAAGGAATTCTGTAAACCTTCTATTTTTGCAATTGCATTTTTGGTTACAATTTAGATGTGATGTAGAGAGGCTTTAAGAGTCTTGTAAATTGTGTTTAATTTGCCCTGAAAGTTTGATTCTACTCATAAAACTATAAAAACGCTGAGTAACTTGTTTTTGCTATTTACGGTGAAAAACAATATGGTCTGATCTCTTCCTAACCTAATCACTCTCCCTTTCTTCTACCCTGTAGATATGAGTTAAGGATCCGGTATCTTCCGAAAGGCTTTGTGCAGCAGTTTACAGAAGACAAACCAACACTCAACTACTTCTACCACCAGGTACACACATACACAAACACACTTACACACACACTTACACACACAGACAACCAGACACACAAACATGTTTCATTTTCTGCCAGCAGCTAGCCAGCACTGAGACATATGGCACTGCTTGAAGGACTGTGTGTGTGTTTGCCTTTGGGTAATGTAGGTCAGCAGACCTGTGTCTGTATTTGTGCGTGAGATTGACATTCTTCGTTTGTAGTAACTAATTTTCGTGTGTATTTGTGTACCCCAGGTGAAGCATGACTACATGACACAGGTTGGGGAACAGGTGGAACAAGATGTAGCTTTCAAACTGGGCTGTCTAGAAATCAGGTAAATGTGCTCACAATATGTAGCGATGGCTCTCTTCATGACTTTGTGCAGGAATAACACAGAGCTACATGTTAGATGGTTATTTTCGTTTTACATAAAAAGTCAAGTTTGTTTCCCAAAGTGTCACTTTTGAAAATTTCACAAACTCATTCCATCTATTTTTTGCTTAAACTAGCAATTAAGGCGATATCCATGACAGTTGTTTTCTTCACCAGATGAGTTGTTATTGTGTGAAACCCTTAAAGATTTCCTCCCGGCTACACTCATCATTCTTGCCAACATTCGTTCATGTCAATCATTTAAAGTAACACCTCCTTCTTAGAATAATATTAAACATAAAAGAAAAAAAAACCTCTGAAGGCAACAAGCCAAAATGTGTGTTTGGAAGTAGGTGAAGTTGTACGAGGATTCTCTGTCTTGCTAAAATGTTAAACATGACTGGTTGTTGGTACATATTTAATAACTTGCAGTCTGTAGTGAATGTATCTGACCTTGTTCTCTCCATGTGCTTTGATGGTTTCCTTTCCAGGAGGTTCTTCAAAGAGATGAGAGGAAACGCCCTGGACAAGAAGTCCAACTATGAACTATTGGAGTAAGTATTTTCCTCATTAGCAAAGTGTTGCAGCAGTGTACAACCTTTCTTGTACATCACATCCTTCCTCTATATGGAAACATGTTTTGTAATCCATCAGAAATAACAGAAAAACAAGAGAGTTTCTCAGTATTTGGTTCAGGGTTCCTATGCAGCTACTAATAACCTGTGGACTGCAGAAAACAATACAAAGAACTTCAGTAAGCGTTTGGGAATTGTGCAAACGTCTGTAAAGACTGAAAGTGTATAGTCTAGCTACCATTATTATTTAAACCCTGTTCATCCAGTCACCTTATCACGTGGTAAATATTCATTCATATCTGTAGATTTACTTGGATTAGGATGCTTTTTCTATGTTAGCTCCCTGGTATGCTCTGTGTCTTAATCCACCATCAGCTCCCGGGTAGATGGATGTCGATGAAGACAATTAACAAACTTTGGCACTAACAAGGCTTGACTCTAACTGGTCCGATTCTAATGAGCTGCCCTGCTCCAACGAGGTCTTTATTTCTGTCCGTCAGCCTAACGAGCTCTTCAATTAACTGAGAAGAATGCTCTCTGTCTTTCCTGTGATATCTCTTTGTCTCTCTTCTCCGTCCTCTCAGTCCTCTTTCTGTCTGTCCTTCTTCTCTATGTTCCCTTTCCTCTTTTTAGTCTGCTTTATCCTGTGTTCTTTCTCTCTTCTGTAACTCTGTCTCTCCCTTTTGATTTGAAAAAGAGGTTGCTATCATGCATATTTTAAACCAACAAGAGTGCGAGGGGAAAATGCTGTTGAGGCTTTGAATACTACAAGCTAAGAGTTTGCCATTGAGGCTTTTGTTGAGTGTCTGCGGTCTAACACCATCCTAAAACAGTGTCTTCGTTTCACCCTTTTAAATCCTCCACTTTTTCCATCTTTGCCGTTTGTTTTTGTTCTTTTAATAGCAAACGTACCATCATTAAAATTGTATTTTATGGGTGTACAATTTCCGAAAAATTCCGATGTCAGTTACGAGAGGTTTACTGTGAAGAGTCTCTCTCTTCTGCATGTTCACTCGGTAGTTTCTGCTAGCAGTTAATTGGAATTAAGGAACTGGATTTAAACACTGTGCAAATTGAACACTGTGTCTATGTTCCCTCTACTTTTGAGCAATTACAGGAAACTTCTCAGACATGATGATGAATTGAATGCCTGTAATTTTGGTTTATTTTCCAAGTTTATAATGAGTCTCACAAGATTTGCATCAGCTGGGTGTAGTTGGCTGTAGTCCTCTGAGCTGATGCAAAACATTTTTTTAAGGGGGCTTTCATTAGTGCTCGTTCTTTGAGGTTAGCTTGTTGTCATCTCTCAAAAGTCTTTTATTTTCTGTTTGTGCTTCGTGTTGCTTCTATGACTGACATAGCTTACATTTTGAGAGGGTAAAACATGTTTATGTCACCCCCAAAACGGTTTTCTAAGCATTCTCTTATAGACATGATGCGGTTTAGCCCTAAGCAGAATACTACTATTGGAATATGTCTTTGCCATAAAGGAGAATATTTCAAGCTGAGGCAAGCCTGGTAGTTTATACATACTGTAACCACAGGGCAGCGTCTTATCTGTGATTTACTACCTACTGTACACCAGCTGACCTTCTCTCTAACTGAAATCCCAAGCCTGTTGTACACCACATATTGTTATAGTACTATGATGACAATTGACTGATAGTTGACCTATGTGGGAGAAATAAGATGATGTAAGCTCTCACCCTTTCCCCTACTCTCTCCACTCGATCTCTCCTCCTCCCCCTTGTCTTCTCTCTAGAGGAGTTTGAATCATTAGCCAGCTTCCTGTTTTAGCTCCACACATCTTTCTTTGTCTCTGTGGTCTCCCTTTCTTTGTACTGCCTCTCTCTATCTCTCTCTTTCTGTTCTCTCTGTTTTCCCCCAGTCTCTAAAAAATTAGTAGTGCTTTTTTAGTCAGCACTTAGTCACAGCTTTCTGTTTCTTGTCTTCAGTCGATTGGTCTTGCCTAACTCTATCTGTCTGTTGATGTTGTTTGTAATCTCTCTACAAAGCAAAAAATAAGCTTTTGAGATCAGATAAAGAAAGAAGTGGTTGCCAATTAACATTCCTCAGTGTAATTACAGCGTAATCATTCTGCTCTCTTCCTCTCGTATCTCTCTCTGTCTCTCCTTCCAGGAAAGACGTTGGCTTGAGGCGATTTTTCCCAAAAGACCTGCTGGATTCAGTCAAGGTGAGAACAAAGACTTGGAATAGAGATCACACAATAGTACACACAATGTAATGTCTCAGGTTGCTAAAACATTGTGTTCACTTTCTCCCTGTGAATTATTTGTGGAATAAATGGTTCAATAAGACTGTTCTTGATGGAGATATAGTTTAAGGAAGTTGTGCTCTCCCAAAATTGAGCAGCTGCCACATCTGATCCACTGATCCAGCAAAACTTTTAATTGACTGCTCTTTTGAGCCAATTTTCTGAATGTTTGACTGAATGTGTTGCTAGACCTGGGCTGGCTGACAAAATGTGAAGTAGGCCAAGACTCAACAATATTTGAATGAGATCATTGCCGACTTGCCATCACAGTTTTGGTGAATGGAGACAAAAAAGAATGAATACGAACCAGACAGTGTACTTATATTCTAGACAAAGACTTTTGTAATGGTTTCAGTTTTCATCGAAAAACACTCTTATTTCTGTCCAGTAACTATAACGCTGCCGCCAGAAGATGGTTTACTTAGCTTAGCACAAAGGGAAACAGCTAAGGTTTGTACTCAAATTGAATTGGTTTTAGCAATACATCCACACCCTGCGGGACCCTGGATATAAGTTTTGTTGTGAAATGAACACACATGTAGAAAGCTCTGCCGTTGTGTTGCGTATGTTTGCAGTGATGGCTTGGTGTGCTTGCACAATGCAGTCTCTCTGTCAGTGATGTATTTACGGCACGCGTTTATGTGGAGGGTTTTGGTGTGTGTCTGTGTGAAAGAAAGGCCCCAGTGACCTGAAAAGGTCTTGATGTCAGCAGGCGGGCGGACAGATGCTCTGCTGAGGGAGGGAAACTGTGTGTGTGTGTGTTGTGTGTGTGACCCTAAGGTCATGTTTAAACCCACTTTCTCTTTGCAACAATGAGGAGGGAGGAGGAGGCGTCAATGTGCGTCTCCTTCTGGGGTCCCCCCGTCTGTCAAGGCCCTCTCACTCCCCCCTCATCACCTACTCTACCTCCTCTCCTATTTTCTCATTTTTCTACTATTTTGGCAGTAATAACAACAAACATCCCCCAGAGTCCATCTTCATTATTCTAAGGCAAACTAAACTAGTAGAGGTATTAGCTTCTTGCATTTAACATGGATGTGTGTCTGCTGGAGAGCACAGCTGTCAGTTATGTTTCTGCCTTTCGCTCTGGTGAAAGAGAATGGTAGTAATTTAATGGGATTATTCACCCTCAATGGACTCTACTTCCACACACACACATAAACCCCGGAGCAGATGGCTGTGGTAGTAAAGAGTGACTGATTTGTTGCTGTGTTGAAAGCTTTATAAAGAGCAGAGTCTGTTCATTCATATCGACAGGCTGGGCAGCAGGTTTAGTAAAACTGACCTTTAGTGTGTTTGGAGATCAGAGTTTGATCAACCAGCTTGATTTGAGTTTTCCCCATCATCAGACTGATGACTGAATTGCTCTCAACCTTATGAATGATCACAACATGATTTGATTGAACTGCAATGATATATATTCTTATGCTTTATTTGAATACATATTTCCAACTAGAACATACAACTATTACTGTCAGGACACAATACAGAATGAAACATCACTATATTTAAAGGGGACCTATCATGCAAAATGCACTTTTGTACGTCTTTTATACATGAATATGTGTCCCCGGTGTTCCAGGGAACTCACCAAGTGTCAGAAAACACAACCCTCTCTATTTTCCTCCATACCCAAATCTCTAAAAAAGGGGCTTCAACGGATCTGATAAAAACTGATCCAGATTTGAACACTGTCCTGACGTCAGGACAGTGGCGCTACGGCTATTGGGCCAACTCCACCAATCAGGAGGAGACATCCACGGCCATTGCTGTTCGAAAGCGCTGTAGTACATATGCCAGGCCAGTAGATGGTGCTGTTCTCACTGAATCAGCCCTTGCAAAAACAGAGCTAAAAAATGTCAAATTGAGCAAAATGAGGCATGGCTAAAATGCATGATCTGTTTGGTATTTTGAAAAGAAAAAAGTATCAATATGCCTTATATAGGTATGGTCCTATACTATATTATTCAAATATAGCATGATAGGTCCACTTTAAGTTGATTTAAAAATGCTTTTTCTGCCATGATGAAGGCCTGGTCTGGCTGAAACTGGTTGCTGTTTTATTCAGTATTCCTGACTGAATAATGCTTATAACTCCTCCCATTACTCTGTTATCAGAGTGTCTGAAGGACGTTCTCTTCTCTTGATGAAATAAATATACCAATTTTGAAGGGAAAGAATAGCTTTCAACAGCTTAGGCCACTGTGACATAACCTCATATTGAATCAAAACACTATATGACCTCCAGCCACTACTGGACGAATCACATCTGAGGAAACACGGAGACATAATATGCCAAGACATTTTGTCCTTCCTTCTGTCACTAAACTGATTTAATAAAAAAATAAAATAATGTTATATATATATAAACTGTCTGTGACCGTTTAGCAGAGAGACATCCCTATTGCTACGGTGACAGTCAGCATGATGATGAGGATGAAAGCACCTCGCAGTATTTCCTCTCAGGAAGGGAGGACACTTTGGAGAGACAATATCTCTGTGTGTATGTGTAAGAGTGTGTGGTGGAATTTGAGGAATGAAAAAACTCTGATCCTATCAAGAACACATATAAGCGAATACACAATATATTCTGTAATCATTTCAGTGTAGTGACATCTGCTGAAATGACACACATACACATGTGGCTGCACACAAAGTAATGTGTGTTTGTGTGTGTTACGCAGCAGATCTAGGGGAACCTAGGCGCAGCATAAAATGTGCACTCTCCCCACTTTTCCCACTCCCAAGAACATGGACACCGAGACAGAGAATGCCGTTTGGTAATTTTAATTACCAACATTTTTTTACAAAGAAGCGCAACAACCCACAAAACAAACAAATCTCTGAACACATAAATATTGCCTAACAAATAAGAAAAATAAACGTACAGGCTTCTTACCTACTCTGACGTATAAACAGGAGAAAACGAGAATTAACCAAAAGAAAAGGGTTTCACACTTTCGCATAAATTAAAGCGTGTCCAACAAGGACAGGTTAAAGTAGTTTCTTTTCTGAGGGTTTCAAGACAAACAAGAGGACCGGTATAAGTAAGACCACAGCACAACAGGACAGATATAAACGCAACAATGTTGGGAGTAGGAGAAGTTGAGTCAGAGAGAGGGCAGAGGGGACTGCATGGCTGCAGCTTAAATGCTCCCCTCTTCTTCAGGTGGACCAATCAGCATGTTGAAGGTAGCTAATCAGCTAACGGGCACCACCTGCTTGCTCTCACACACACACACACACACACACACACACACACACACACACACGAGGAGGGAAAAATATCTGCACACAAATGACATAACGACCCAGGGTCGTAACAGTGGCCGTTTCTCAATCGCGAGGATATTGGCTTCCAAGCCAATATTTCAAGGATGCTACGTCATCGAGTGCCGCCGAAGGACTGTTCCAATCTCCAGCATACTTGGAATTCCACCGAGGCCGCGTCCTTGGTTTGGGGGAAATTTCGAGGCTGCACATGGGTAGACTTCGTGTCCTTAAAATCCCCACAATGCTTTGCGCATGGACCAATTTCCCCAAATCTGTGGCGGAAGATGTAATGCGGGGCCTCTCATATGACGCACACCTGCACTCTTGCTAGCCTGTTCCACTCTTCGTTTTCCGAATAGCAGGAAGTATTCTTGCCTTGCTTCTGAAGCAAGATGCTCGGCTCGGCTGTGCTACCAAGCCAGCATCCTCGCGATTGAGAAACGGCCAGTGTGTGTGTTCTTGATTCCTTCAGGCTTAATAAGTAGACCGCTGGCAACAGTCATTCTGAAATGAAGTGTAGAAAGTAGGGCTGTCAGTCGATTAAAATATTTAATCGCGATTAATCGCATGATTGTCCATAGTTAATCGCGATTAATCGCAAATTAATCGCACATTTTTTATCTGTTCTAAATGTACCTTAGAGGGATATTTTTCAAGTTTTTAATACTCTTATCAACATATGAGTGGACAAATATGCTTTATATGTTTGTTTATTATCATTTGAACAATGACAAATATTCTCATGAATATTAAACAACAACCTGTGAACATTACAAATATTCGCCTCAATTCAACCTGGAACCTCTCTCATACTGTGTGTGTGTGTGTGTGTGTGTGTGTGTGTGTGTGTGTGTGTGTGTGTGTGTGTGTGTGTGTGTGTGTGTGTGTGTGTGTGTGTGTGTGTGTGTGTGTGTGTGTGTGTGTGGTGTGTGTGTGTGTGTGTGTGTGTGGTGTGTGTGTGTGTGTGTGTGTGTGTGTGTGTGTGTGTGTGTGTGTGTGTGTGTGTGTGTGTGTGTGTGTGTGTGTGTGTGTGTGTGTGTGTGTGTGTGTGTGTGTGTGTGTGTGTGTGTGTGTGTGTGTGTGTGCCAACGGGAGCTGCCTGGACGCTGCAATCATGTTGCGCGTACTGAGTGTGCTGACTTTTCGTACAATGTCCCACTGTCTGGCTGCCTGCATAAAGTCAAGTGCTCGGCGCAGTTGTCGGCGAAATGTCATTGAAACAGCTCCTTATATCCGTTAGCTCAGCTAGCTAGCACCAGATGCTAACAACAACACGTAAGGTGTGCCTCGCTCGCGCGAGTCGCGCCACACATACACACACACCCTCCCGGTCCTCCCGATGGCCAGTCCGGTCCTGCCGGTGAGCGTGGAAGTGTGGTCTGCCACAAGCGGGCGGCAGGAGGGGGGCTGTCAGCATCAGCTTGTAGATGGTATTTTAAACTCGATGCGCTCTGAAACTACGGGGCGGCCGAGGACAAAAAATACACATGCGTTAATCGCGTTAAAATAATTAGTGGCGTTAATTTTTTTTTGCGTTAACGCGTTATTAACGCGTTAACTTGACAGCCCTAGTAGAAAGGCTTTTTTTTTACAACGGAATAGTACAAAAATATAATAGCAATTGTAATTCATAGTGGCTCAATAAAATGGTTAATTCATATTAATAAACACTTCATTCTTTTTATAATGAATGATACCACCCTCAGATAGGTTAGGTTCAATACATATGGAGAGACTATTCACGCCCTAGGTCTATTGATTATGTTGTTTTTGGGTCTCATTAAACTCACCTGTCATCAGTCTATTGCTTGTGTTTAGGTCACATCGAAAAGTCAATACAGTTGATACCTTTCTGGTTGGGATTTTAATTGCTAAACTGTTCATTTATTTGTGTAGCTTGACCTTAATTTGATGAAGCAGTCTACTGTAAATCCACTCGTGCTTTTTTAAGCCTGGTTTGTAGTGCAGTAAATCCCCTTTAATCTTTATCTTTATCTATACATGGAGAGCTATTAATAGTTGTCTGTACTGTATGTGTGCCTGTGTCAATGTGTATTTTCATGGTTGTTTGGATAACATCATTTATAATGTATTTCAATTTTTTTAACACTAATTATTTGATGTAGTGAAGCTCAATATCCTGTTGGGTTGAACAGGGTTAAAGATAGCATTTTGTTAGGGGTAAATTCATCTTCATATAAGTCACAGTGTTTTTATATATACATCAGATGAAGAGGATTGACGTTTGTGTGTGCTGTGTGAGTCTCTATGTCTAGGGAATGATGAATAATGTCCCTAGATGGATTTTATTTCCCTCGATTCCCCATCTGTCCACTCTAGTCACATAACCAACACAAAAAATCATGTCTGAATAAACCAACTGTCACACTAAGAGTCTTTATATGCACTTACATGAAGTGATATCTAAGCGACAGTACACATGGGCAGATTGTGATGTTTAATTGAGTGGTAACCAACAGTTCGTTGTGAAGATATTGATCTGAAGTGGGGAGGTCATTTTGATCGGGACCAGAGTGGACTATTAGTCAATCAATGTTTTCCTCTGTTAGTGTCTCTGTCCCTCTGCACACACACACGCACACAAATTCACCACATTTGTTCTCATGCATACTCCTCTTTCTTCTCCTAGTTGCAGATTTTCTATCATTTAAATACTGTTTTAATTAAAGTCAGTATCTAACTGAAATGTTCTCCCTTTCCAATTATCTCCTCTCCCCAGGCTAAAACCCTGCGTAAATTGATTCAGCAGACGTTCAAGCAGGTAGCCAATCTCAACGATGAGCAGTGCATCCTCAAGTTTTTGGAGATACTTGCTCCAATCTACCGCTACGACAAGGAGTGCTTCAAATGTGCGCTTGGGGTAAGTTTTCATCCATTCCAAGGTGTGTTGATGTAGCCTAAAGGCTCTGGTTAGTGGTGTAAGGCTGACCTCTTTTGGCGGGATCAGGTTCTGCATGTATCTGAGATGTGGTGCTGTGCCAACGTCCTTCCTCTCACAACGTGTACCCCTCCTCCTCTCTCCCACAGTCCAGCTGGGTGATCCAGGTGGAGCTGGCTATCGGGCCAGAGGAAGGGATCAGCTACCTCACTGACAAGGGATCCACGGTGAGTTCCTACACAGCCAAGCTTAAAAAGGACGCCTACAGAAAAATACATGTATCAAGCGATGGGCCCCTGTAATGCATCTACTAATACATTAATACTTTTTAACACTCTTGTATGTCACTTGTATTCTCTTTCCATCATTATTATTTTTGTTTATTTACTATTATTTGTTATTTATTTTTCTTATTTTCTAAGGTAGGCCATCTTTATTACATTTTTAATTGTTTAGCCCTGGAGTGGTACTCTGTTACTGGTTGTCTAATACTTGAAACCTATTCAGAATTGTATTGATACAGCTGGAAAAACTGAAAATGTGAATGAAAGATATATTTTACTGTATGTCTGAAACCAAAACAAATAAAGTTCTAAAAAAAAGGGGGGCTTTAATAGCTTCAACACTTGTACTGCATCTAAAAAACATTATATTGAGTATTAATAAATATCTATATTTCCAATCTTTTTGTGTTCCTCCGTCTGTCCCTAGCCCACCCATCTAGCTAACTTCAATCAAGTTCAGTCCATCCAGTACTCGGCTATGGAGGAGAAGGACAGGAAAGGGATGCTACAGCTCAACGTAGCCGGAGCTGCTGAGGTACTACAATCTTTGTCTCTTTGTCTAGGCATACACATTTGATATACATGTACAATTGGTTTGAAAAAATACCATTAATAATATCATCATATGAAGCAACTCAAAATGGTGACTTTTACTGGTCTATCGCTATGATTAAAAACAAGACGTAATCTACCTTTTATGATTTACACACTTTTTCTACCTCAAATTCAGGTAGAGAAATCATTTCAAAAGGACTTTAAAGGCCTTAGAAGAGTGTCTTGTGAGAAGTTTAAGTACAAACAAATTGGAAGTTTTGTTGTTGGTGCAGGGAAAACAATGCTTTGGGCTATTGTGCAAAATATAAAAAAGAGTGTTCAATCTTAGACACTATATATAGATATATGTGAAGCTAATTCAAGGAAAATAAATTAGTTTCTCACTCTCTAAAGGAAGTACCTCTGTTGGATACTAAAGGTTTACCCTAAGCTGTGCCCATCGTGCTGCTTAGCTTGCTTACTTTGCCCTTTGTTTGCAAGTGAGTGGCTGAGATGGATACAGACATTAACTAATGCTCCTCCATGTATAGATCCCACATAATGGTTCTACTCACAGAGGAAGGGTCTGGTAACACGCGCAGATATATGAGTGCAGTCTTTCTTTTTTTAATGGCTTTTAGTATTGGATTTACTCACACACACACCACAAATACTGTGAGAGAGGAGTCTTCCCCTGACGTAAGGAGCAGCTGGAAACCCCCCCCCCCCCTGTGCTGTCATGTGTAAGAATATGTGTGTGTGTCTTTGGAGATAATGGCTCTTTGTAACAGGCCTGTGTGTGTGTTTGTGTGTGTGTGCGTGCAGCCTCTCACGATTACGACAGCATCACTGACCATGGCAGAGAACTTGGCTGACCTGATTGACGGTTACTGTCGACTCATCACCATGGAAACTCACTCTTTCATCGTTCGATATCAGAAAGGTATAAAAATTAACATGACTCCTTTTTGTCCCGCCTCTTTAGGATGCAAAAATATCAAAACACAACCCTGTGCCCACAGAGGGTTATCATGTTTTTGTGCTCTTAAATATAACACAATTGGAAGGGAAATCGGAAAGTATATAGACCGCGTTATTCGTCACCATAAGTCAAATTAACACCAAATTAAATGGGTTCTTCCTTGGCCCTTTGGCAAGGGTTACACAAACCGAAAACATAACGTCCTAGTGGTGAAGAAAAAATCCATCCAAGTCGATATTGCCACTGAATTCCCACTTTTTAGTTTCAGGAAGTTTGTCTCCTTTTTAATGCTGTTTAATGTATTTTGTATGCAGGGTAGTTAAAACGTTTCTGTAATCTTTATTTTGTGTGATTTAATCACTAATTTTGATCCTGATGATGTGTGTTTTTGTCCTCTAGAGGGAGAGAGAGCACTGCCTTCCATCCCAAAGTAGGTACCTTGCTCACTGTTAGAGTTTACATTAAAGAAACATCACACATTTATCTCAGATCTGATGATTTAGAGCTGTGATGCCTATTTTCTTCATTAGCTAAACAAAGATTTAGTGGTTCATTGTGTTTGTTTAATCAGGACCATAGCCGGACGTTCAAAATGTAACTGTCACTAAACTAAACACAACGTTTTTGCTTACTTTTGGTCATTTCAACTCAAATCTCCCTCTCCTTCTTCTCCTCTCTCACTCTGTCTGTGGTCAAATAAGGAGATACGTTTAGGAGCCAAATATTTTCCACTTAGGGTTTTTAAACACTTGGGTAGTCTCCTCCTCTTTCTCTCCTTCTCTCACTCAAAGTTTCTCTCTGCTCTCTGCCTCTCTCTTTCTCTCCCTGCCTCTTGTGGTCTGTGATGTAAAGATCGTAGTAGAGCTCAAATACAGACGCAGACAGAGAGACCACGGCAAAGGCAGGGAGATTATTGAAACAGTCAGGGTTGGTTTAAAGACCCAATTTCAACATGCTACTACTTTCAAGGATACAACTATAAAAATAACAGGCTTCAATTTACCCTCGGTATGTTTTTTCAAGATTTTATGCGAGTGTTTACTGCTTTGACTGATGTTTAATTATTGTCTAATTTGTTTCTTCTTCTTTTTATAGAGTATCAAATAATGAGAAAAAGTTAGAAGCAGTCAGGAGTGGAGTAAGAGCTATCTCTGTGTCAGGTAAGATAAAAACGATGTGCACACACACTGCCAAATCGACAGGTTTAGGAGAAAAGTCTGACAGCTTCCTTGGCTCCAACTACTGTCGTCTTTTCTGTCCTGTCATTTCCTCCAACATCTGTTTTCTCTCTCACTCCTCTCTTATTGTTTTCTTCTCCTCGGGACTGCCTCTCCCCTGTTTCTCTCCCTCTCTCCCGTCCTCTCTGTTCCTGCTTTCCTTTTGTTTACTTCCTCCTCGGTCTGCCACACATCCATTCACTCTTTTCTTTTTTCCCTTCACACTCTGGTCTTCTGTCCTGCCTGATTGGCTACAGACCTAGTGACATCAACGCCTCCTAAGCCAACCAAGGCGCGGTGTTTCCTCCTTCCCTTTGTCTTCTGTTCTGATTCGCCGCCCAATGGTACCCTCGGCTCTCATTGGACAGTTAGTGGAGGAGGGTGTCCACAAAATTGTGATGTGCTGAAATAGAATATCTCATTTGATATCATACTTATTGGGCAATGCTAGAAGAAACCTATTAATATCATCTGAACAAAAATATCCCAGTGGATGCAATTTAATATGTGTTTAAAGTTTTATTCCTGGATAAGTTAACGGCACTCATTTGGTCCAGAACTTTTATTGGCTGCATCACAATCTATTTACTTTATAATGGATGCCCTCTTCTTCTTAACTACTGTCCTCAGTGCCTGGTTGCTTTGACTAATTCAGTCCCAAGTACACACACACACACCCACGCACACGCACACATACACATACGCGCTTCAACCAAAATAACCGCCTGTGTGCTGCTAACCGAGCCAATGCTCTTAAAATAAGAGTTGGTATCAAAATAAATAACCTCTTAATTGTGGAGGACTTTCTAACTGAGGGGGAACTCTTTAAATCCAATGGCTTGTGTGTGTTCCTTACCATCAGTCACCAGTTTGTATGTTTTACCTCTCACATTTGAGAACAGGTATTCTAAAGATAGACATTTTTTATTTCCGTCTTTGTAAAATCTAACTTTCATACAATGAAGGGATGTGACTGAAAGTACTGACACACAGAGTGAAATGGTGTCTTAATCTCAGTTCGCCACATGCTCTGTTGTTCCAGTTTGGTTATTCTTAATCATTATTTCAAGTGTTTTATGTCAGTTAATTCAAAGAGCGGACCATATGGTTAAAGTAATCATTCTTCCATTTAGAACATTTGGGTTCAACCGCCAAGTATCTGCCCTGTTAAAATGTCTTCGATCACCCTTTCAGCACCGGCTAAGTGATGAAGTTGTGTAGTTTGGAAAAAGTCTATAAATGAATTATGTTAGGAAAAAAGCAAGCACTTAAATGTTGTTGAGATTTGTCACTCTACCATCATTATCTCCATCATCTGTAAAGCCTCGTGCACCAAGTTAAATGTGTGAGTTCATGTCCTTGTGTCTCCATCTATGGCTTTGGCTCAGCAGCTAGCAGCACTGTTCAGAGAGAGTCATGAATCTGGACAGCAGCTGCTTTTCTTATTGAGACTTTTACAAGTGATCCAAGCTTCCTTTCTGCTGGAGGCTCCAAAAGTGACACGCAGGCATGGTTCATATCCTTCTTTAGGGTTCAAAATGTTAGTGGGAAGTTTCTGTAAGTCCATTGAGCTCTGATAATAGATTTAGAACAATATTTAAAACATCAAGTTAATAAAGTGCTTCACAGGATTAAAATAAGAGACTAAAGTACTCCACACGTACAATAATAAGAACAACAACGAAATTGGGATGGAAAGCATTATTACAAGCGTACAATGTGCATTAATAGCCTTCAGATTATTGGGAAGAGAAAAAAATAAAATTGAATATCGTAGCCACTGCAAATATTTACAAAATCCCTTTTCTCTTTTTTTTGAGTACTTGCTAAGAGATAGATGAGAAGGAAAACACCACGCTGTCTTAGTCAATTTGAAACTAGAGCAAGGACATTTTGTTACTTTTCGGCCTGCTGTTGCCCCTGTTTGCTAAGCTAAGCTGACCAGCTGAGGTTGTGTGTTTACTGCATCTGTACAGACATGGAACCTCCTCCTCTAACTCTTAGAAGAACACAAATGACTGTTGACCTAAAATGCCAAACTCTTGGCTTTTAAGAACTAGGGAGGATTCTGCTGTGTAGTTCCAACGCAAGGACATGACAGCTTAAAACAGATGAGAAATCTTGATCAAACAATGAGTGTTGAGGATCTAACTCTTTTCCATGTTTACATTACACCACTGGATATCACATATAAACAAATGCTGACTCACGCTTTCTTTTTCTTATTGCTTCCATATCTTGAATGACCTCATTTCACCTCCATGTGTTTGTACAGCATTAATGACATTTGTGAACTCTGCTTTTTCACCTGAGATATTTTGATACTTAGCTAACTGCTCGCTGAGTGTTTGGCTTTGCAGATCTTGCAACATCTTGTTGTTTCAAGGCTTTTCATGCTCTAAACCGCTCTCTTTCTCTCCCTCTTTTCTCCACTCTGCCTCCTGCTTTTTTCCCTCTCTTCTCGCTGCTTTCTCTCTGTTCTCTTCCTCCTCTGCTGTCCCGTTTCCTGCATGCTCTCCTGGACCCTGCAGAAGATCTTAGCGGGGATGGTAAAGTTTTCCCATTGTTTATTCATCTCTATGTTCCTTTTAGTCCTCACTCCACCAACACACTGCAGCCTCCTGGGAGCGGTTAGCGTGTGTGTTGGTGTGTGGGTTGATGTTTATGCATGCATTCCCACATCTTTAACAACGGCGCTATGCATGTGCTGTGTTATAGAGTGCTTAGAAATGGTTGTGTTATTGGAAACAGGAACAAAACAGAAGCTGTATGGAGTTTGATCTGTTTAGTAGCTATAGTGGTTTACTGTTAAAGTAATGTGATTTTAAGTAGTCTGTGTCAGACTCTATTTATGATTAGTTTTTTAAGTGGATTACCACAGACTTTGAAATATGTCTGCTTTTAACCAGATTGAAACAAAAATGCAGAATTTGTCAATTAAGTGGTATTTCTCTTTTAGGGAACTTCTCCAAACCTTATTCTCTCTTTACACACACACACGCACGCACACGCACAAACACACAGAGAGAAACATACATCCATGCAGAGCTGGATTCAAGGCGAATGCATTCCTGGCTATGATGGGCTAACTAGATCTCTGTCAAACACATACACACACAAACACACACACATACACATACACAAACACACACACACATTAACACCTACACTATCCCTTCTCTGAAAGCAGAACGAGACCATTTCAACGTAAGAAAAGGTTGATATGAAGCATTTCAAACAATAGTCCTCATAGAACAAACTAAGAAAAATGTGTTAAAAAGATATAATGTATATAAAACTGAAACCGTTGAAGTCATCTTCAGATTTAAATACATACATTAGAAAAGTAAAAACAACACGCATAAGAAACATCAAAACTCATTGCTGGATGGAAAACAATGTTATTTGCTTTAGTTAATAAACCATGACTGATTCAACTTTTTCTGAAATGCTAAGTGTCCATGGTTATTAGTAAAACACATGTTAGTAGCAGCTACAGTCTGCAGAGCTGTTGCTTTTATTTCAGCTCATAGGAAGAGATATTTAGAAGCGCATTAAATGCTTCCCTTACCTCTCATGTGAAACATAAATCATGCGCAGCAACAGTTTAGCAACAGTCATGCCTAAAGTGGTTTCCAACTTTCCTCCAAGGGGATAAAGTACTGCTAAAGTATCAGCAGAGAAAGTTACACTCAAAGCATACAACGTCATTCATTTTATTCTGAAATAAATAGTTTGACACTTGTTTTAACTTTTGGAAAGAGTCATGTTAGCTTCTTCCGTCTGCTTCCAGTCCTAATGCTAAGCTAAATAGCTGCTAGCTGTAGCTCCATATTCACACTAAAGACATGAGAGCCGTATCAAACTTCTCATCTAAGAAGTGTGTTAATTAACCATTCTTACATTAACAACTTCTTTAACATACTCAAAACTGCTTATAACTTTGATAAAATCAGCCACAAGCTTTACAAAGGGATTTTTAATAAATGTATGGAGATGTTTCCAGAGAGCCTGATAAATCCTGAGCCGAGCTGTGAGGGTAGCGTTCAGGACGGCAGATGTTTGACTCTTGTTTCCAACAGCTGAGTCTGCACACTGATTTTATTTTAAACACCACCATCTGGTTAGCATACACTCAGTCCATCTTTCCCTCTCTTTTTCCCGCTGGCTCTCAACTCTCCCCCTTTCTCTCTCTCTGCCTATCTGTCGGATTCTGCACAGATTCCTAAACGTTACCATCTGCTTACATGACAACCACTATTTCTCTCTCTCACTCTCTCTTGTATTATTTCTCCTGGTTTCTCTTTTCTGTTTCATCTACATTTTCCACGTATCTCTCTCTCCTATCTGTCTCAGCTCTTCTGTTTTTATTTCCGCTCACTCCTCCACCACCACTGTGACTCCCCAGCTGCTCTCACACAGACAGATATGCACAACACATGCTCAGCTGACACACACCGCCAAGTGTATGTGTGCAGAGAGAGAAAGAGAGGAGCTACGTGGGTGTTGCTTTGCGCAGGAGTTGCCGAAACCCTGAGTTTGCTTCATGCTTTAGTTTTATTGTGCTGCTTTGTTTTTTTACTGCACATGTGTTTGTGTGTGTATCGGTCACCCTTCACACCATAGCGGACGCACGGTAAACTCCGCGACATGTGCATGATTGTTTTTGTTTATGAACTTGTGTTATTTCAGACTTGTATTATTCTCTTTTAACGGTTCATGTGTATCACGTTACAGAGACTGATGACTATGCTGAGATAGTTGATGAAGAAGACACATACACCATGCCCTCCAGTAAGTAATATTTTCAAACTTCTTTTTTGCCTAACATCTACAAGACATTTCTACTCAAGACAATGAGCTTCTGTTGCACTGCAGCAAGCAAACTCTGTATTAACAGTTTTTCCTTATTCTTCTGTCAAATGCGTTCTCAAACAAACATCCATTTTGTTCTGATATCTGATACGCCGAGTGTGGTGTGAATCTGTTCCAAGAAACACACTCAGACAGGGAACATCAGAGAAGTTGCATGAAACCACGTTTACTTAGGTAGCGGTGTATCGAATTCAAGCCCGTTTCAGTGTCTTAAACAAACAGCAGAGACACCAGCTGCCGGTCAGAGAGGCTATAACTCAAAACTGCATCTGTCCAATTCATTCAAATGTTAGTAAAAAGCCTTGGCTGTAGCTCTGTAAGTAGCAGTGGTTTAGCCTCCAATACATTTAATGTGGATGCTTGGGCCGGTTAAAAGTACTCATGTATTTAATTGCGTGGCCAACTTTGAAAATGGACTGTGTTCTCCTTTCCTCCCACAGTCTTTTTCTATCTTTCTCTGTCTGGCTTTATTTCTTTGTTGCTTGCTTTGCTTATTTTGGTCCACGTCTTTCTGCGACTTCCTCTTAAGAGACTTTCTGCAGACTTATTTTCCGACGCCTGCCTGAGTTCGTATGTGTGTACATGTCATACTGTCTGCTTAATGTGTCAAATTAAACTGCATTACAGGAATGACTATGCAGCGAGCTTTAATGAACTTATTTACTAACTCATGTAAAGAGCGGAATACCACAATTATCTGTGTGTGTGTGCGTGTCTTTTGAGCTTTTTTCAATCTTAAAGCAGCTGTCTGGCTCTCTCCCACTCTTCATCTCTTTTTCTTCCTCTTTCTCCCATCGCCAACACAGTCAGCTATGGAGTAGTTGAAGGTAATACTCCCTGTCTCTCTCTGATCCTGTCCTAACAAAATGCCTTTTTACATTTTAGTTCATATTTTTATTTGCCGGGCACTTTATTACAATCTCCTCAGCCTTGCTCATCAAACCTAAGTGAATCATTTTGCAAGATAGTTTGTACATTTAAACCTAATAATACCCATTCATTTACATGATTAACAATATTGATAATGTGGCTCTTTTGTAACCAGTGTTGCAAGTTTCTTTTTCACTAATTAGTGATGGCAGAGAAAAATACAAAGACTTTAGTTACCTAATATCCAGATTGAGAATCACTTGTGTTCACTGGCGTTTTGAAGAGAGTTCATAGGGGTCTTGTGATGAAAATGAAAGGGAGGGCCAATCCATAAACAATGCAAGATGTTTCTTCACAAATAGTTTATTAAGAAGTCTCCTCTGCAGCTGAACATCTCACACTATGTGTTGTTTATTGGCTTGGTTCTAATTTCACCATCATGTTGGTTATGACATTTTTATTTCTTTATCGGGATTTATTATCTTTTGTGTTTGATCAATTATTAGGTTTCCTGTAAATTAACTGCACTATGGTTGAAGCACATTTCATTCTTATAATGGAATGTGTTTTGGTTAGGCTGTTTATGTTTATCTGTTGGTGGAGTCAAATAGCCGGACTTTGTTTAGCCCTACAGATGAGGATGAGTTCCTGATGGTCAGTGTCCTGTGTAAACCTCTTGAGCTCAGTATTCAGTCCATTTTCACTGTGGTTGGCTGACAGCTGACATTAACACACCTCTGTAGAAATGCTTCATGACCTTTTCAACAAGGCGGAAACACTGATAGCTAGGGTTGCAAAATTGCGAAACTTTCCATGGGAATTAACGGGAATTCATGGGAATAAACTGGGAATTTTCAAAATTGAAGGTTGGCTCTTCATAGGGAACTTAAATATAGTTGGGGAAAGTATATTTTAGCATAATCTTGACTAAAACAAACAGATGCCATTCAAGTACACTTGAATATCCATGCCATAGCACACTGCTTACTGCATGGCTATTGAGACCACTCCCCCTACAGGCACTGTGCATTCCTCCATCACATGCACAGATGAGTAATATTTAACTCAACATTCCTGTTTTTGTTCTTCAATGAAACAAATAATTGTTCAATAAAATAATTAAAACTTGTTCTGTTCTACTTTAAAAAAAAATCTGTGGAAATGTCATGTTTTTTGTTTAATTTTGCATCGAATATTTCCAACATTCCCCAGCTTAACTTCCCATGGAAACTTTCCGGAAATTTACCAGATATTTTCCGCCCCTTTGCAACCCTTTCCGCCCCTTTGCACATAAATGTCAAAGCATGTGCATATCAGGTGGGACAAAACCGTTTCTTTCCCTTTTGGACATGCTTTGTGAATATGAAAAGGTTACTCGGACGCAGACCATATCTAATGCACTTCAGATCAAGTGCCTCAGTTTGTATCAGTAGCTCAAAAGATCCAGACGTACTTCTCAGCTTTGCAAACTGTGGTAGAAATGTGCTCTTGATGTTTACATGCAGAGACCACTCAAGGTTTTTAATATCCAGTAATGAAACTGAAATTATAATGGGACTGTGGTGTGCATGTAAACAGGTTTTTATGAACTTTATATTTTGCCTGTTAATGTAATCTGTATGTTGGTGTCTTAGTAATTGTTGAGTGTTAGCGTGCATGTTATGTCAAACGTTGTCTATTTAGAGGTATGAAGGGAATAAAATCCTGGGTCAAATGTATTTTTGTATATTGTTCATATTCTACAAATCTGTTTGCCATTGGATGTGGTTTACAATGACAAGGATTTGACGGCCTTAACTTACCTTTCTGTGGTTACAAACGATGACCTGATAAGTTCCAAATGGTCCTGTCCTGGTAAACCCCTTCCAAGTTGGCAGAGTAAAGCATGTCAAATGTAACGGGCCTTTTCAGTGTATGAAAAATTAAGTAAATGTATACATTTAACTCTTTTCCTCTCTTCTCCTCTCGCTCTCAGCGCGGGATTATGAGATCCAGAGGGACAGGATAGAGTTGGGTCGCTGCATAGGAGAGGGTCAGTTTGGAGATGTACACCAAGGAGTCTATAACAGCCCGGTACGTGGAAGTACACACACACACTCATGATTTACTGTACGTAGGTCTAGGGCTGTGCGATTATGGCAAAAATCATAATCACGATTATTTGGGTCAATAATTGATATCACGATTATTAAATACGATTATTCATTGACTTTGAAAACATCCATTTATTGAACTTTAAAACAAATACAAACAATAATTTGAACAGTATCTTTTTAACTGTTGATTACCCTGAACGTATAATTCAACTGAAAAACCAATACAAAAATAAATGATACATTTAAATAAATCATATCAAAATAATAAATACCAATAAACAAGATCAACAAATATTTTGGAGCGCACTTCAACAAGCTACTAAACATATGTCAATATGATAAATACAAATAAATGAGACCAAAATTAATTAGATCAAATATGTTGCACTGTCACAACCAAGCAAAGCTAAATAATTGTTTTTTTCGATTATGTTGTTTTCGTAATTGTGGCAGGCCAAAATCGTAATTGCGATTAAAATACGATTAATTGCACAGCCCTACGTAGGTCCAATAAAAGGTGCGCAATAAGCATAGATGCAGTAAGTTGTAAGGTAAAGGGGATAAACGGCTGGTAGTTACTCAATTATAAAGCTATAACAAGCCATTTTACATTTACAAAAAGTGTTTTCTTATGTCTGCACTGTAACAAAGACCAGATTACTTGTTCAGTTACGCATTTTGTCAAACGTAATAATTTCAAGTTAATTGTAAGCAACCTTTTCTTTTACCTGGGTTAAGAGTTTTGTATTTTTTTTATTGTATTAAACATTAGTTCATTTTCTATGATATTTCATGTTTGTGATATTGTGACTTTCAATTTATAATACATGTAATATAATATGCTAACTTGTGACTTGAAATGTGTGTTCTGTAGGATCATCCAGATCTAGCTGTCGCCATAAAGACCTGTAAGAACTGCACATCAGACAGCGTCAGAGAAAAGTTCCTACAAGAAGCATGTAAGACCCACGCTGTTTAATCATAAGCAAACCATGATTCATTTATCACATTCTGAGTGTGTTAATGTGTGTGTGTTTTCTTTGCAGTGACAATGCGTCAGTTTGACCACCCTAACATCGTCAAGCTGATCGGAGTGATCACAGAAAACCCTGTGTGGATCATCATGGAGCTCTGCACTCTCGGAGAGGTACGGCTAAAGATAACGTCCTCACATATGGACTAAGTAATATCTGCCATCCTCTATAAATAAAACAGTTCCTTGATCTTAACACCACGTCTTTTTTTTCTGTCCATCTTTCTCTGTGTCTGCAGTTGCGTTCGTTTCTACAGGTTAGAAAGTACAATTTGGATTTGGCCACTCTCATTCTGTTCGCCTACCAGCTCAGCACAGCGCTCGCATATCTGGAGAGCAAACGCTTTGTCCACAGGTACACACTCAAACACACGCATGCCCAACATACATTAAGTCAAGAATAGCTTTAAGTTTATGATTGCATTTACTGGATTCTTATAATAACAAAACAGAACATACAAATAATTAACCAGGACGGTGTCAATAGTTTTTATTTGTTATGATTTCTTAAAATAAAAATGTGGGATAAGTTCTTGTGGCTTGTTACGAACACACATTTTTTTCTTTGTTGTATGCTTTCATGTATGCTGCCTACATTTTTACATGACAGAAAGAACCCAAGTGCACTCGGTAGAAAATATAGAGTGGCAAATTGATATTGTTGCATCTAGAAGATGACAAATATGTTTCAGGCCTAATAGCAGCCTATACTGACTTACAGGGACATCGCCGCTCGTAACGTGTTGGTCTCTTCAGTGGACTGTGTGATGCTCGGAGACTTCGGTCTGTCGCGATACATGGAGGACAGCTCTTACTACAAAGGTAATGACACTTAAACACAGCTTTATCATATGTTGTATTACAGAAGAATTGTATTATTTATCATGCTACTCGTTTGAGCTGTGCAGACCTAAAGAACATTTTGTTGTCTCTGTGAGAGTTTAACTTTTGTGAATGTGACACACTTTTCTAGTTTCCAGTACTTTACCACCACCAACAGGTTAAATCAGGATACTGCAGTTTATCTCGACTGTTATGACAACATTGCCGTCTGTCATCTAGTCTTCTAACCCTCTGATTGATTGCAAAATTAACCAGCAACCAAATTATAAATTATAAATGTAATGATTGGTTTGTATTATATAGCTAATACAATATTAATTCTGCCGTTTATTTAAAAAAAAATCTGTTTATGTCTTTATCTCAGCTTCTAAAGGTAAACTTCCAACCAGCAACCAAATGATAAATGTAATGATTGGTTTGTATTTTATAGGTAACACAACAATAATTCTGCTGTCTATTATTTTAAATCAGTTGATGTCTTTGTCTCAGCTTCTAAAGGTAAACTTCCAATCAAATGGATGGCTCCTGAATCGATCAACTTCAGAAGATTCACCTCTGCAAGCGATGTCTGGATGTTTGGTGAGTTATGATCATCTATATGTGTATTTTGTGAGTTACTGTTACTTAAAAGTAAAGTAACAGTACAGCATATGTGAGTTTGTAATGTTTATTTCTCTGTAGGTGTGTGTATGTGGGAAATTTTGATGTACGGCATCAAGCCTTTCCAGGGCGTGAAGAACAATGACGTGATTGGCAGGATAGAGAATGGCGAGCGGTTGGCCATGCCTCCTCAGTGCCCGCCCACCTTCTACAGTTTGATGACCAAATGTTGGTCGTATGACCCCAGCAAGCGACCGCGATTCACCGAACTCAAAACACAACTCAAGTAATTAGACGTCTTCGCCAGTGTGTGCTTTAGAGTGTTTGTATGTTATCATTTGTGTAAAATGCTTGAAAGGCCATTATACCTGTATTAATATATTATTCTGTAAGCCACCTGCATGGTCCAGCATACGTAGCCTGTTTTTGTCTTTTAAATTCTCCCAAGTATTTTTTTTGTATTCAAATCCATCAGAAATAGGCAGTACATTTCAGCATCCCAAAATGTTATTGTATTATATTTACAGATAGAACCACAGTTTTTTAAACTTTCTTTTAGTTTGATGAAAACATTTTACAGTAATTTGTGTTCATAAAGAAACAATTGTGATACTTTGTCTATTTACCATTAAAAAAAATTATCACATTAGCCTCTATCGTTTTGTGTCCTTGGTGATGTTGAAGAGAATAATTTAAAGGGTTTATGATTTTTCCCAAAACCTGAAGAATTGATTTCATGTAGTGAGAGATTTTCTAATGACTGTGTTGCCTATTGATATAAAGAAGTAGACCACTTAATAAGATAAGTGTTGTTTTATAGCACCATACTGGAGGAGGAGAAGATGCAGCAAGAGGAGAGACTTCGGATGGAGATGAGGAGACAGATCACCGTGTCCTGGGACTCTGGAGGGTCGGATGAAGCACCGCCTAAGGTAAGGCTGAATGATCTCTTTCTATTTCTCTCTGGTTGTTTCTTCTTATTTGTATTTCAGTAGATGTGTTTGGTTTGTCTGATGAACACAAACTGTTATCTCTGTCTGCAGCCCAGCAGACCAGGATACCCCAGTCCTCGCTCCAGTGAGGGTTTCTTCTCCGGCCCCCAACTTAACCACTTCTCGGTACAGAAAACAGAAAACAAACACACACACGCACACACAAAAACAGTTCCTGTAGAGGGAAAACTGCTCTTCTGTTCCCTCTAAACCGCTGTGGCCGCAGCGGTGTTTTCCTCTCACATTTTTGGAGGTTTTAGGTGGCAGTGTGCAGAGAGGAAGAATTCAGGCTTACGGGGAAGCTATAAGAACAAACAAACTGTATACCATTCAGAAAAAAACGGACATTTAAGAAAGATATACAGTAGCAGGAATAGATAACAAAATATTTGTTCAGGACAAATATATATGTTAGTAGTAGTGACTGTAAACTCAGCCCATACAAATATATTATCAAAGTGAAACGTGCTGATCCTATCAGCATTAACTTAAGATCCTTAAATATTTGTGTTGGTTTTGTGTTCTGTGAATAGCTTCTTGCTTTGCAGTGCAAGCTGTGCTGAGCATCCTGTTTTCTGAAATAATATCTCAGAGTTTACCGATGTTTTTCTGAGAGTGTAATGGGCCTCAACTTTGATTTAAGACTTTCTTATATTTTGTAGTAGAATGTGTGTAGAATCAAAACTATTTGAATTTAGTTAAACTGTACATATTTTCACAGTTGTAGTTCTGTTGCAAGAGAACTCCAAACATTCATTATATATACCATTCAATTCCTCCTGATGTGTTGTTGAATATTTTTTCCTATATCTTATGTTCAGACCATCAAATGTCACTGATAGAGGGTGGGCATTGTGGCAGTCGTAATAAGGAGTATTAAGTCAATACTCAGTAGGAATGTTGTTTGCTTCAGTCACACATCTTCAAAACATGCCACACATTTGCATACTCAATATTGGAACATCTTTCAAACAGGTTCTATAAATCAACTTTTTATCTGGGCTTAGCAATGTTTGGTTGAGCAATATCATCACAATGAAGGCCAACGCAGTATTTAGTCTGAGTTAACTCAGAGGACAGACTGTGTTGGAAAGCCAGCTGCATGTGTCAAAGTCAGAAAGAGAAATGTGAGACTTTCAGTGCAGTTATTCCTCTCCTCATAAACCGAGCAGACAGCAGGCATTTCCTGTGCTACAAGGCACACACACACACACACAACACACCACACACCACACACACACACACACACACAAACACACACCACACACACACACACCCACAAACACACCCACACACACACACACACCACACACACACACAACACCACACACACACACCACCACACACACACAACACACAACACACACATCACACACTACACTCAAATCCACTCTCAGCTCTTAAATAAGCAGCTCCCTCTCTCTCTCTCTCTTTCGTCCATATGAGTGTATCATTTTAACTACATGTCAGACTTGATCATATCCCACGTCTAACCTGTACATTTTGGGAGCATGTGTTAAACACCAGGCTGAGAGCACCTGAACATGCTGTAGATCTCCTATGATTCTTTAAAATTCTACCACTCATGGCTGGTTTTAATTAACAATGCTGACTAAATGTTAGTGGGATTAGTATTATTTTTTTTTGGAAATGTGGGTTCACCCTCACAAATCTGCTGTACAGTATGTTATTGTCTTACTATGTACATTGATAAGACAGCACGACAGAGCTGCCTTTCGGGAATATCATGATTTTTTGTCTAAGAATTTTTCAGAATTTGGTAAAAGGAGTTTTATATGCTTTTTTTCCCTCCTCACTGCAGATTCTTCTCCCCATTAACCATGTTTTAAACTCTTTTTCTTCCTCCGCAGCCATCAGCCCATGGGGTGTCGGAGGCAGCTACCCTCCCTCTGACTCCTGGAGTCAACACAGACCTGAGCACACTGCCCTGTGGAGCCCCAACATGGAGGTATGCCCCCTCAGTCATTTGGGAGCGAAAGCTCATCTAATTAACATATATTATATTAGACCATAGAGTGGTGAGATCAGATTGAAATTATACTTTTTTTATCAGTGACATCTCAGTCACTAAAATCAAGTGCTGTCTTTTAGTACTGTTAAGCTATCACATTACTGCGAGCTGCATGTCGTTATTTTTAGAAAGCACATTAAAGAACTTAACTGATTCAATAAATAACCTTTTACACAACTGAAATAACCTCAGTCCTCAACTTTCATTAAATGTTATTTTCTTTTTTGATGAAACGTAGCAGTAGTATAGCTAGTTTTTTTGTCTTGAATTTTCATATCAAATTAACATCATGTTTCCTGCAGGAGGGTGGATGTGTGGGCCATGCTATGATGGAGGAGAGGCTGATGATGCAGCAGCAGCAGATGGAGGATGACCCAGCGGTGGCTGGAGCAGGAGGAGAGCTTCATGGTTATGGTAATTGTATTTATACAAGTCACAGTTTTCAGTTTTTTTTTGGTATATTTCTGAGAAACGATGGACTCTTAAGGAAAGTTCCAATATATCTCAACCAGGTCATTCTCTTTCAGGGTCATCATAATATTGCACTCACCAAGTAATCAGTTTTACATAAATGTTTAGCTGGGTCCAACCCTGTGGGATGCTTTTTCCACTTAAGTAAACTCATTTATGTTTTCTTTTGCCAGATGAGCTCCAGAATGTCCTTTACAGATGTTTAAGCTGGCTGCTGTGCTTGATTTATCTCACCAGACACTGAAGCATCCCCAAAAAGAGCCAAATCATTACTTTTGCAAAACAAATATTTTTCCCCTTAGTCAGGTCAGATGTTACTCTTGCCTTGAATTGCAGTTTTCATTTTTGAGCCAGGTGTAGGAGAGCTGAAAGAGAGATAATCAGAGATGAGTGATGACGGATGGAGAGAGTCTGCTCTTTATTGACAGCAAATCTCTCAGGACAGACCTGGCAGACTGAATTGCTGATATCTTGTTTTTTATTTGGAAATCTCTGGATGTCATTTCTTTTTTTATATTCCATAAATGCACCAGTTCTTCTTTGCACCTACCTTTACAACTTTTGGTAAGACTGATTTAATGCAGGGAGACACAAAGCAGACCTCAATGCTCCCCACATCCCACGCAGTTTTACAGCTCTGACCTTGCACCCTCCTGGAAATGAACAAGTGAGAGCAAGCTTCCTTTTATAGGGATGAATAAAGTATCAATCATCAGTAGAAGGACAAGGTTTCAAACACTCTCCTGTCACTTTGATACATGGCAGAGGGACTAAGGTGCAACCGCTGCCTGGAAATAATTCCACTCTCTCTGATGCAGCACTAATGTAAGGCCGTTGTAAGGTCAGTTCACAAAAACAAAAAGTGAGTGTGGTGAAAGTCAGCTTAAAGGGGGTAGGTAAGTTTGAGAAAACCGGCTCGAGATACACTTTTTGTTATATTCCATGGAATGCTCTTAACATCCCGATAGCAATGAATATCTTGTCTATATAAGTGCTTTGACAAAAAATCCATAAAAAAATGTCATCTGTGGAAGCGGTAATACTGTAAAAAGTACGACCAATCATTTAGCCGGCCCGGCTAAAATAACTGGATGGCCTACCTGCCTGTCAGCCTTCCATCTGTGCACAAACTTATCTCGTGCCCTCATTGGTCATGTGCGCGTTTGTGTGTTGGAGGAGGGGCTCTGTAAGGAAGTGGCAGATTTTCTCCGGTTGTGTATTTTCAAATTCTAGCGATCTCGAGCCGGTTTCTCAAACTTACCTACCTACCTTTAAATGTAATCCGACTTTTTAACGACAGCGACTAATTGAGAATATTATTTATAAAAGGCAGAGTGGTTAATGAACTCTCAGAATGGAAATCTCTGATTGTATTTGTAGGAATCTATGCTCATTGTCAACTGAAAACACTAGGAAGAGTTTACAGACAAAAAGAGAATCCTCATTTCCTAAACATGTAAATATCTGTATAAGGCATCTGTAAAACTGGTATAATGGCATAAAAGCTAGTTTCTTCTTACTTTTATATATAACATAATAACTGTTAGTTGTGTATTTATTAAGTAACAACCAAGTTCTTCCACCACTACTGTCTGAAGTTCTTGGTCAAATATGCTCGCTTACTTTGTGCTAACCTTCAAAGTGGATCAACAGAAGAATAAAAGAGATTGAAAACAGAAATGACTAAGAGAGAAGGAAAGTAAAGCCTGAGAAGAAAGAGATGGAAGTTTGTGAGGAGGAAGGAGTGTAGGACAGGAGGAGGGAGAAAGGAAGTGGGATTGGCAAGAGCCGTGGAGAGGGTGGATCGAACAAGGAGCCCATCAGAGAGAGAGGGAGAGAAACAGAGCGAGATGCAGAGAGATGGAAAAAGTGGGAGGGAGAAACAGACTGAGGAGGGAGAGAAACGGAGAGGAGAGGAGAGGTTGGATCTTTTCTCTGTGGCTCAGTGGAGCTTTTCCTCCTCTGGAAAAACGTCTTCTCTGTCTTTCCCTCTCCCTCCATTCTCCTCTGACTAAATGTTTCTGTCTCTCTCAGTCTCATCTTCCACGTCCTTACTTTCCTCTCTCTCTCTCTGTCTGTGTTC